ATCGTGCTTTGTGCGATCTTGAGTGGTACAAACTAGAACCAAAAAAGACAAAAACTTTTATCTTAATAATGGTACAAGCCAGCCAACCTTTCCGTATCACTGCAGGAAAAACATTTCCACTTACAATGACAACATTCTGCAGTGTAAGATTATTAATAATTTATCTAAAATTTATTTTGTCGTTAATCTGAAAAAATATTTGCATTACTTACTTCCTTTAATATATAACGTAAATGGAAAAAATATCTTTTGCATTAACCGCCTAATTTTTAGTCTTTTTATTTTCTTGTAGAGTATACTTAATCGTTAAAACATAAATGCCAAATTAATAATTTATATTTTTTAAATACTTTTAATTGCATATTTATCAGTTAAAAAAATTGTATTCTATTATCTACTTACATAGAAAATATGTTACAGTTGTTGAAAACATCGGCTGGCTACATATCATTTCTATTCGCAAACCGAAGATGAGAAAAAAGTCAAAGTCACGCTAGTACGACATTTATATTAAAAGATTTATGAGAAAAGTAGATGTAATAATCTTTTAATTAAATAATTACAAATGTAACGGAGATATATTAATCATAATAGAAATAAAATATTTGTTATTTAATTCAATGTTTGTTATTTTATGTAATATTTGAAATTAATATATTTGTTAAAAAATATTATTTTTTATTTTTATAATCACTACGTTAACAATACCTTTTTCAGTAAAATACTCCTTAAAGTTCAAGATTTTGATAGTGATTTAAGCATTTTAATTTAACAATAAATAGATATTAAATATATTATACATAACATTTTTTTAATTTAGATTTATTAGAATTCAATTTGTAAAGAAATTATGTATTTTACAAAAGCATATATCTTATTTTGTAAGAACTCAATATTTTCAACAACTCAGTTACAACGAATATATCTTTGAATGTATCTTTTCTAATAAATACAAAACGAATAAATGACGTGAATAAACGTGTGATGCATTCTATAAAATCTATTAACTACAGCAAAGTTGTATAAACCATGCGATCGAAGCGTGAGAATGCAACAGCTGTAAATAAGCGCGTTTTTTTTCTAACATGATATCTACCTGTTATTATAAAATTTTTTATTCCTAAATGTTTTGCACGATATTCGATGCTGAAAACTTGTCTCGAAATATAAAACGAGGGTCGGACGATATAAAATATTTAAAACACTTCCGATGCAAGTTCATCATTCAGCACTTTCGAGAACTTTTGAAAGCATGCGCAAGCAATACTTCTTGTTAAATAGAAGGTAACGTGGTTTCATGAAAAAGGAACAGCTGTCAGTCTATATTCGACATGAACAGTTCGAAATATACCGGATATCAAGGTGCTCGCTGTTAAAATTGTTGCACCTGCAATTTGAAAGAAAATAACCTTATAAAAATATATTTATCTATTATGTGCACGTGTGTGAACAATAGTGGCATTTAATATACATTTCATTTTATCAATATATATTAAAAGAACTTCTTTTGATATCCTTTTATATATGCAGTATATTAAACAATTGTAACAGAAAATTAGCTATATTTAATTACAATAAATAAGAAGTAATATCATAATAAATTAGTGCTTTTTATGATTCATATTTATTATTTTACTTAATAAATATGGATTATAAAAATAATCTTCGAATTTGTATAATTAATATCATTCAGAGATACAGTTATACAATTAGGGATTTATAGAAAATTATTTTTGAATATTCTATTTATTTCACACATCTGTTAAACACGACATTGTGTGTTAAGCAAATATGTTTTGTTCTAACTGTGGATTTATTTATTGCATACTTATGATTATGTGATGCTTTACATGAGCTCCGATTTATTAAAGTTTCTACAGGTAGATTTCACATGGGCGGTGAAATTAAATCGAATCACTTTAGATTTGATTGGACTGTGGCCTAAAACCGCACGGAACCCTCGACAGAAGTTAATGTGCAATTTTCGAGCACTTATCGTCTTTCTGTCGATAACATTCGGCGTTCTGATCCCTTCTATACATTCCTTCATAAGAATTTATGGAGATATTATGTTAATGATAGATAATTTACAATTTACTTTACCAGCTATAACTTGCACAATAAGAATCATAATTTTTTGGTGGAAGAAAGAAGGTAAGCAATTTTCTACTATAACTCTGAACTGCAAATGATGAACATGAGAGATATACGTATCAAAATTGTAATAAAATTATAATAATCTTTGTTTTGAAATTACGAAACTTTGTCTTTGTCACTTATTTATACTGTTTTTCGTCTTAAAACTATAATAAAAGATGGAAGTTTTTACTTCAACTCTATCTTATTAAACTTTTTATTGCTGACAGTTCAACTTGTTATAGTTTCTATTACAATATTGTTTAATTGTGCATTAAAATATACAATATTGACGTTTTCGAAGCTATCATACCAATCATAGATATGGTTGCGGAGGATTGGAGAAAATTGAAAAATGCGCAAGAGAGAAATATAATGATCAGAAAGGCGCAGAGTGCACGCTTACTTATTATGTGCGCATATTGCATCATGACAGTAGGATGCTTGTTTATCATCGTTCTTCCTGGATTTGGAATGTCGATAAGACTAACGCCCAATATTACTGATCCAGGCAGATTAGTGCCTCTGCAAACCCATTACATTTACGATGTATCAAAACGACCTCAGTATGAATTGACGTATATAAGTCAAGCAATCTATATAGTTCTCGCAGTTATGTCTTATACTGGAATCGATCATTTTCTTGGGCTGCTAGTTTTCCATATATCCGGCCAATTAGACATTCTCAAGGATCGTTTGACACATTTAGATAAATACATCAACTCTCACGACATGTTAAAAACATGTGTGGCACGACACATTTGTTTACTTAGGTTTGATATTTACGAAAAATATGTAATATATATGAAATCCATACAACAGAATAACGTTAAAAAACAACACAGCAATATCTAATACACCAAAATAGATGTCACTGTGTTGTCTTTTGACATAAATCTACTACTTGGGAAATATATCTAATACACAGAATGTCTTTCGTAGAGCTATTGCCATTATAGAAGATACGTATAATATAACATTGCTCTCATTATTCGTATATTTTGCAATGCTCTTTGCTTTCTACGGTTTCCGCATAATTATCGTGAGTGTGCAAACATTTAAAAATAAAAATTTGCTTATTAATTAATTTTTAATACAAAACGTAAATATTAAAAATTACTGACGCAATAATATCTAAGTTGTTACTATATGTATTTATAAGATATTTTGTGATGAACATTTTTGAAATTATCTTAATTATGATAAATTGTGTTTTTTTTTACTTATCCTATAAATTAATTAGCTATTCGACGGAGGAAATGATTTATCACTCACACGCTTGGTGTTTTTTATATCAACGATTTTTAATTTATTTGTACATATGTGTTTATATTGTGCTTTGGGCGAATTTTTGATGGCCCAAGTAAGTTGCATTCTTTTTTTACTATAAACATCGTATAATTATATATGTTACGTGTCTGGCATTACACTTATATTACAATATGATTCATTTAAGAAAGAAGTTTGTCTTAATGCACAATAAAGTTCAATATTTATCATGCATAAGCGCATAACGAAAATAAATATTAATATCAAAATATAATACAGAAATATATTGATGATGATTTAATATCATTTTTATCAAATTAAATATTGTAACAAATTAATGTAAACTTTTGGAAAATAAAAATTAGTAATTTATTGCATTTATTATTTACGCGTAAATGCATTAATTTACAATTTAAATGAAAATATAAATTACTTCATAATCAATGACTAGATTATTCTCATTACGGAACAATGCATACAATTTTTGTCTATAGAAACTTTTAATACTTTTAGTGTAATGAAATATATTATGCAGCCTACAGTAATGAATGGTATTCCCTGGATCCAAAACTTGCACAAGACTTGTTGTTTTTGCTGATAAGAGGTGCTAAACCGATTTATCTCACCGCTGGAAAAATATTCCCCATGACAATGACCACATTTTGCTATGTAAGATATTTTAGTGTTTAATAATTATTGTGGTAAAACATTTAAATGACTTTGTAATTTTAGTAATATTTTTTATACAATAATTTGACAATTAAATATTTTATTGCATCTATGTATACTTTATGCATATCTATGTACCTCATATTATACACACATACACTCTATGTATATAATTCTAAACTTTGTGTGATCATAAATTCATTACATTATTAATTATTACTAAAAAAAATGTATTTTTCAGTTAATAAAAACGTCAGTCGGATATATATCTGTTTTACATACGACGAGGAGTTATTAGAAAAGTGAGATAGAGTTAAAGTTTTTCTAATAATATGTTATTTATATAGAATGCAATAAACTAAGAATTATATAAATATTAAAATGTTATTGGCAAATAAATTATGTAGATTTTATTGCATAATTTAACGAAAATATGTTGGGAATTCTATTAGATGATTAGAAGTAAAATATATTCGAATTAAACTCAATATGACAACCACATGACAACTTTTATGCCACATCTATGCAATTAAAAAAATAAAATGCGAACTGAGCGTTCGCCTCATACGAAGACAATGGAGGGTTAGGAACAGGGAATTTTAACTTTAATAATAAAGATTTTCTTATACATAATTGCAATAATCCAATAATAATAAAGCTATTGTACAAAATGTTCAAATATATTTATAACGTTTACAGTATTAAAGAGAATAATTCATATGATCACATTGATATAGTGCGGAAATAATATATTTAAATACACATTTTAAATTGTATAAATATGATTTTGTTTGTAAGTATAAAGTCCAAAACAATTCCACTCTAATAAAATTTTGTACGTATAAAATTGATCTAAATTTACTTTGTTATGAGTATCAATTATTAATAAAATAAAATTATAAATAGGTATTCCAAATGATATCTATCAATATTTATGTCAAAAGTGCTTTTGGAGTGTTATAAGATATATGTTACCATCGTAACGTACTAACATGGTGGTAAACATGTTATTATATTATGCGCTGTATATAATCAATTACATATGATTGTTATTTAGGGAAGACAAGGGCACGCATATGGATACAGAATTAATTACAGACACATATGTTTCTGTATTTAATTTTATATCAACTTGCGTGCCCTGATCTCCCCCAAATAGTAATCACACATAACTGGTCTTGCGTGCATGGGAATATGTCACATGTACGGCATTATATTTATTGTATTTTTACTCACCTGTTATTATTCACGTTTCGTCGATGACTACTTGGGACCATAGATAATGAGAATTATTATGATTATTATGAATACTCATGCTGGATATCGATTACCATGTATTTAAATGTTCTTAACATATGTATGCATATGTGACCCAAGTTTTTATTGAATGATAAATAATTTAGTAATATTAAACAGAAAGAGAGAGAGAGAGAGAGAGAGAGAGAGAGAGCTGGGAAAGAATATGCGGTTCAAACACTTTCTTCAGTATTGCAGATCAAAGTTACTGAAATTAAAACATTCAGCATCCAAGTCTTCAGGAAAATAACTAGTTTCTATAACTACCATCGATCGATGATGAATGATTGCGACAAGTTGGTATCTTTTAAAATAGCAACTCAATCTTTACAATGACGTTATCATGGAGAGAGATGCGATTTCAATTTGGAGATCTGCAAGTAAGTTATAAATGATACGTAAATTATTTTTCACGACATTATATGTCATACAACGCCGGATTATGTGTCATCTATTGTTAATATAAGTATAGTAATGTTATAAGCTATAACTCATTGTAAAAACGTGTGAATATAACAAATGTTCCCATAAGCGTTTTCTTCATCTACGTGTCACAAAGACCTATTATTACGAAAAAATTTTTTATTATTTTGCGTGATGTTTGGCGCTGAAAACTTGAAACGAGGGGATGCAGAATATTTAAAATACTTTGTTGCAAGTTGATTCGCCTCTCTCGAGCATTATTATTTTGAGCATGCGCGAAAAATGCTTTTTGCTGATTACGAGGTGATATCGATTCATAAAGGAGAATCAGACGTCAGTCTCTAGACAACACTCGACATGGAAAGTCCAAAATATAACGGATACCAAGGTGTTTATTATCGTTGTAACTGTTATTGGGAAAATCTTAATATATAAGAATTTTCATTACCATGTGTACGACTAATAATAGTATTTGAAAGTTTTAAATTATCTTATTGCTTTTACTATATATAATAGTATTTCGGATTAAGTTATTGAATTATTGCGACAAAACATTAACTACATCTAACGTAAGATCTTTCTTGGAGGAGGGGGGGATTATTTATCATATTCTATTCTTTTATATCTATCACTAAATTTGCGTGATTACTAAAAAATGAGGTGTTTTTAAATATTATTTTTCTCGCATTTTATTAAAAAATATTTTATATTTGCCCATTAACTGTGGTTTTACTTGTGTGTGTTAGAAATTAATGAAAATAAATAATCTTATAAACTTCGGACTCACTAAGCCTTCTACAGGTAGATTTCGAATGGGCAGTAAAACTGAATCGTTTTATTTTAAATTTGATTGGGCTCTGGCCTAAGACTGTACAAAATTCTCGACAAAGATTAATGTGCAATTTTCGAGTGCTCGTCATTTTGCTGAGTTTAACGCTTGGTCTTCTTATTCCTTCTATACATTCTTTGACAAGAATTTTTGGAGACATTATATTAATGCTAGATAATTTACAATACACCCTACCACTTATAAGTTGCTTGATAAGAATCGTAATTTTCTGGTGGAAAAAAGAAGGTAGATATTATTTATGATTATCTATCTAAATTATAATTATGGAAGCACATAATTTAATAGTATATTGAGCACCAAAGGGCGAAAGTAGCGTTTTTCAGACGAGTGTGATTCGGCTCGGGCGGCAAATCACACGAGTCTGAAAAAGCTTTCGACCCGAGGTGCACACGATATTTTTCACAACACCTTTTTACGGAAATGTTCGACTTTTGAATGCTTGTAGAGTGTATGCGTTTGATGTTCCATTCATATATACAGTTTATACGCGCGTGTAGTTAAATAGAAAGAGAAAAAGAGAGTGATGTGGAGTCAAAGCCCCTGGGAGAGGGAAGGGTGTGGGAGGCGAAACCCCCCACATAAAAAAAATAAAATTAAAATAAAATTAAAAAAAATATATAAATAATTTTAATTTTAAAATGACAATAAAATTTCCAAAAAATGTAAAAAATAAATATAATTTTTGAAATATAAATATATCATTAGACCTGTAACAGGGACGAAAGTAACAACTTTCCTCCCTGACGTGAAATTGGCCACTTTCGCCCCTCTCTACAAGCATGGAAAGTCGAACTTTCCGTGGAGGTGTTGTGAAAATATTATATTACAATTATAATGTACACACATATATAATATTTTAAAAGTCTATATCAATATTCTATAAAATAACTTGATTTTATTTATGTAAATGAAATCAATCATATATGTATATATATTCTATTTCTATATAAAGAACAAACTATATTAATGTATTTTCTACATTTTTTGAATCAACTTGCTGTGTGCGTTTCTTACATTAAAAATATCTATACATTATTTATTTTTTAAAATAAAACAAACGTTTTACATAATACAATTACATTAGTCATTATGTATGTATATAAAAATATATTAATAAAAAATCACAAAAAAAAAATATATATATATATATAAAACCGGTAGTATACATAGTCAGATCTTATTCAAGATCGTCTTAAGTTTATCTCTAGATGCTGAACGACTCGTTTCATTGGCTACGGAATATCTAAAGATAAACTTAAGACGATCTTATATATAAAATCTGACTATGAATACCGGCCTATAAGTTACATAAATAATATGAGTGAGCTTATGAGCAATAAAAATCGCATATTACAAATTTATTTCTGTTTTTTACATAACAATAACTTTGTTTTTTTTTTATTAAAAAACAAAAAAAGATTCTTACTTTTTTGTTTACATTTAAACTTGTAATGGTTCCTTATTCCGATTCAATAATTATGTTCTTTAAAGCTATCATACCAGTCGTGAATATGATCGCAGAAGATTGGCTGAAGGTGAAAAGTGCACAAGACAGAAGTGTAATGATCAAAAGGGCACGGAGTGCACGCATTATTATTACATTTGCCTTTTGCATAATGGGAACAGGAGTTTTTTATCTTATCGTTTTGCCTATCTTTGGAATATCGATGAGAGACACAACCAACATTACTGATCCAGGCAGACTAATGCCTCTACAAACTTATTACATTTACGATGTAACAAACAGTCCACAGTATGAACTGACATATATTAGTCAATCTATTTATATTATTGTCAGCATGATGTCCTACAGTGGAATCGATAATTTTCTCGGACTACTAGTTTTCCATATATGTGGTCAATTAGAGATTCTCAAGAACCGTTTATCAAGTTTCGATAAATGTGTTAATTCCCACGAGATAAAGATATGTATAATAAGACACATGCGTTTGCTTAGGTTTGATATTTATATATTAATATAATCTACATAAAATATATAATCAGTACTCCATCTGTAAATATCTAATACGTGGACCACCTTTTATAGAGCTATTAACATTATCGAAGATACATATAATGTAATCCTTCTCTTTTTATTCGCATATTTTGCAATACTCTTCGCTTTTTATGGTTTTCGGATAATTACTGTAAGTATTTTGAATTTTTTTATATTTCCATAAGACTTATTTGAATTAATAATAAATTAATTCTTAACTAAAATAAGAAAATAACTGATAAATATACTACGCATTTTCTATGTTCTATCTAAGAAATTTCTATTTGTATAATTTTTTATTACAAACATCTGAATTAATATTAATATTTAAAAAATCCTATATTTTCTCTTCTTCTATAAATTAATTAGTTATTTGACGAAGAGACTGATATATCATTCTCTCGTTTGATATGTTTTATGGCTACCGTAATCAATATATTCGCACATATGTGCTTATATTGTGCTCTTGGCGAGATTTTGGTTGCCCAGGTTAGTCAAATTTTTATCTTTTTTGTTATAGAAGTCATGTAAATTTTATATTGCATAATTATAATTATAATTATGCAATATAAAACTTATAATATAATAAATATGTGCATATAATAAACATATAATACACATATGCAATATATGCTACATAATATAATTGATTTATGCAAGAAATATTTAATATAATACATGACGTACCTACTAATTCTAATACTTGTCACACGTACAAAAAATTATTAATAATTTCTGTATATAATACATAACTAAATTGTTGATGACTTTGTTTAATCTCATTTGGTTAGCTATCACAAAAGTTTAACGTAAGTTTATGAAAGTAAAAATATAAATTAATCCTGAAATAAATTATTTATAGAATGAAAAAGTTATACTATAAGTCTGACAAATGCATTAATTAATTGAAATTAATAAGTAACATTTATTCAGTTTCTAGATAAAGTGTGTAATAATTTTCGACTAAAATACTTTAAATATTTTTAAGTGTAATAAAATATACTACGCGGCATACAGTAATAAATGGTACTCCATGAATCCAAAAATAACCCACAACTTGCTACTTTTAATGATAAGAGGCTCCATACCGGTCTATCTGACTGCTGGAAAAATATTTCCTATAACGATGGCTACGTTTTGCAGTGTAAGATATCATAATGTTCGACAGTAATTTTTTCATCAAAACTTATTTGACACAAAAATTTTATAATATATTTTATACAACCATTTATATTACTTGATAAAATTTGAATCTTTTGTTTTATTTTATTCTCTTGTTTACTACATTAAATTTTAATATTAATTATTCAGAGATATTTTTTTAACTATAGTACTAAGAAATTTGTTTTTCAGTTAGTAAAGACGTCAGTTGGATATATATCCGTTTTACATACAATGAGAAGCTAATAAGTACAAAGCTGAGAATAAAGTAAGATAAATCTAAACTTTCTTTCATATTAAGCAATTTTTTAAGAAAACAATAGTGTA